GATGCTACTAGTTTTCCTAGTTATTTATTTTATTTGTCTTGAAAGGTAACATTTTTAGCTTAGTTTGTATCAAATCGCATAAATTGGAAAAATACAAAAATTCATTATTATTAAAGTCCAAAAATGCGAATAGGAATTTTAGTTGCTAAAAATACCTTTCTTAGAGTCAAAATCAAATGTTAAACTCGTCTTGGCTATGTCTACGTTAATAAAACCTTTTAAAAAAATAATTGTTTTTAAAAGACAAGCCAAATGACTGAGTATAGGTTTTGGCGTCATCAAAAAGGGAGAAAATTGATAGGAATATTTTTTGTAAGTTTTGATGAGCCAAATGTACTTTAGATCCCCTTAGTTTTTAGGTCTTTTAGTACAAGCATCATAAATCAGAATATCGAGTCAAAAGTAATCTACCATAGGAAGAACAAAATTAATTTGAGAAATTAATTTTGGTCCTACGAGTATTCATCCGAGAAAGAAGCATAAAGGAATGGCATTGCAAAGAATGACCGGATGAGCCTAACGGTGAAATAGTAGAAGTCCTTACTCAAAATGATCACACTCAAGATCGATTCCCCCCTAAGGACTTATTTTTACAAGTCAAGTTTTCGGACAAGCACAATGTGCCAAGGAGCACAATGCTACCAAGGAGCACAATGCTACCAAAAGAGCACAATGTATTAAAAAGAGCACGATGCTGACAAGCACAATGTGTGCTAAGGAGCACAATGATCAAAAGGAGCACAATGTTCTACAGGAGCACAATGTGAACAAGCACGATGTGTCCAAAGGAGCACAATGTGACCAAATCAGAAAAGCACAATGTTCAAGTCAAAGGAGCACGATGTTCAAGTCAAAGGAGCACAATGTGGCAAAGAAGCAAGATGATCATAAATTGGGTAAATTCGAAGGAATTTATTCTAAGTCTACCCACATGCTACAAGAATCCAAAATTGCCTGAAAGACATTTGATCAGAACGGAAAAATATTTATGAAGACATGAATATAAAAACTTATCCTAGAAATAAATTCCATCAGATGAATTTATTTCAAAGATACGTTAGATATTCAAAATAACAAGAAAAATAATATTTTAAGAAACAACTAGAAAATCAAGTTGTGATAAAATATTATTTGTCAGGCAAGTTGACAATCAAATCAAAATTGAAGACCTACTATTGTTAACAATATCAGGCTATGAAGATTCAAATTTCAAATATCAAATTATCCCACTCCAACGGATATATTTGATTGCCTATAAAAAGCCATGAAGACTTGAAGACACAGAAGCGGTGAAAAAAAAGAAAAGATGCACAAGATAGACACGAGATAGAAGTGCAATACACACGAAAATTTAAAAGTGCAAGTGCTCAAATATTCTTAGAGACTTGGTCTGAATAGTCTCAGAAATCTAGTTGGAGAGAGATACAATTACCTTTGTATTTGTAATTGTAAAAAGAGTATAGCTGTGTGCAAAACACTCGTAGTTGCTAAGTGTAGTTGTGTGCAAGACACTTAGTTGGCGTTGAGTATAGCTGTGTGCGAAATACTCGGAGTTAAGTGTAGCTGTGTGCGAGACACTTGGAGTTGGGTGTAGCTGTGTGCAAAACATCCGGAAGAAGTGCTTGTGTAGCGCTTATTCACTATTGTAACTGTGTGTAGAAAATAGTGAATTTCTCCTAGACGCGAAAGGAGAAAAGTGGACTAGGAAGATTACGCCACTTCCGAACCACTATAAATTGCCTCTCTCATTTATATACCGCACTTACATAATTTGCTCTATCTATCTATCTTATCCGATAACCCATTTACTATTCACAGTTTATCTTAATCTTTCGGGTTTAGCATGTTTTCACGTATGCATGAGACTCAAACTTCTCGAGCTTAAATATTGAATCTTTCTAAGCAAGCTTGACGTGTTGCATGTAACATTCGCTACACGGTCGACGTGATACGATATTTATTTACATTCTTGAATATTGTTATTACATATTGAGTGAACCATCTCCTTTATATATTCAAGATATCTCTGTCACTTTAAATATCATATGTACCTATCTTTCATGCGTATTTAAATTATTGATTGGGCATAACTCTTTACATACTACTTATTCCGCTGTGCAGTTTAAACTTACTCTATTTACTTGTTACTTAGAGTTGAAGTTATCAAAGAGTTATTTATTTCGAAAAAGCTTGAAAGTGTATTCACCCCCCCCCCCCCTCTAGACTTTCATCACCCTATCGGGACCAACATTCACCAACCAGCCATGCTCGGAATCTACCCAATCGAGACTCGGCATCAGCAAATGAAGAGGGGCTTTTCGCCCAACACAACACCTCTCCCTAGGTCCCGACGGATAGGGGTGTACAGCTAATTGGCTTTGAAAGCCATCTACCTAATTGGCTCTAATAGCCAACTACCACTTGGCCGGTCGAATTCTAACGACTGGCTATTGCGCTCATCTTCGGCGGACGCTCGGGTCACGCCATTGATTGGGGAAACCAGAGCTACAACACCAACTCCCCGATCCGTCCAACTTTTTTCCACTGTCGCACTCACTCGTGCCTCGTGTGCACAACAGTGTGGGAGCTAGGGTGAAGGAAGGAACGCATAAGGCCAAACGGTTGAGCAAGTCCTGAACGCAAAGGCCGGAGAATTTTTTAAAGCCAACGGTCGGGCAAGTCCCGAACGGAAAGGCCAAAGAACTCTTAAGAAGGCCAGATAGGCCAATGGGTCGAAATACGAACGACCAGGCCAGTGGGCCAATAGGTCGGACAAGGGACGACCAACCAAAGTTTAAAATAAACACGCATACAACGAATGACACGAGTTCATTACAAAAAAAAAAAAACAATTTTATTGATCGTTCAAAATGTGCCCGGTACAGATCGCGACCAGGCTCCCGATGGAGTTCACTTAACAAAAACGAAGAAGCTAGTACACGGTCAGAAGCTACACGACCTAATCTACTTCTTCGCGACATCACTCGCCTCGGCTACATCCTCCTCGGGGCCAAACGGCGGCGAGCCGGGGTCGGCAACCTCATCAGGGAGGGTCGTCAGGACCAGCTGAAGGTCCTCACCTTCGAGGACTTCCTCCATGATTGTTTGGGTCTTAGCACGCATTCTCCGCTGGCCGGATTTGAACGCCCAACGCCCGAACGTCCAAATCATAGACTCCCCGACCTTGTCCTTCCGCAGCTCACGGAAGAACTCCCGGGCCAACGCCTCATTCTGACAGAGGAACCGCGTCAACTCACCAAGGTTGCCCAGTCGGGACTTGAGCTCCGACGCCTCCCCGAGAGTAGGGGTGGGAATAGGTCAGGCCCCTACATAGGGGCCTATGGCCTGGCCTATTTAGTAAAAAGGCCAGGCCTAGGCCTATTTAAAAGCCTATTTAGTTAAATAGGCCCAGGCCTATATGTAAAAGCTTGGCCTATGAGCCTGCAGGCCTGGCCTGTTTATATATATAATATATATATAATATATATTTATTATTTAATTATTATATATTACATATTTACATTTTATAACTAATATTTTTTAAAATTTATAATATAACCCACTATATATATAAGTATAACCTAATTCAGAACTCATAAGTCATAACCCTAGTCCAGTAAGTCATCCGACTCATCCCCAATCGGCCAATCCATCGAGACGTAGACCAGTGTGCGAAACGGTGACCTTGCAACGGCGAAGCGGCTGGAAATGTGAGTATCACGTTCTGGGAACACCAATATCAACTTCTTCCCCACACCCATTTCGCCGTTTCTCCGGTCCCAAGCGGTAACTTCTTCTTCTTCTTCCCAGATGGATTTCAGTGCCCTTCTTGACTATGCTTTGTTGAAGCTCACTCCAACCAGGACAAGGTGAGTCTTCTTCACTTCTTCTGATCTATGTGTGTGAGTATTTGCAGTGTAACTGACAAAGTTATGGTTTTTGACATTTTAGAAAATGATAAGGATGCAATCTTGTGGTAATCTAAGATTCGGTTGAATATGCAAAGAGTAATGCAAAACAATGCTGCTGTCTTCCGTACACAAGAGACTTTAGAAGAAGGTAGACGTATGGAATCCATTTTGTTTTGTTTCCCTTGTACAGTTATTGTACAGTTAAGCCACTTTACTCTTGCCCGCACGCTTTCTTTGATGATTTTTATTTTTATTTTTCTAACTTTTGTTTGTATTATGTATTCTCAGGAACTCGGACCTTATAGAAACTATTGAGTTGGAAAACCTGTTGATTAATGCATGGATTTCCAATGCACTCTGCTGAATCCAGAAAGGAAAGCAAAGGTGCACATGCCCGTGAAGATTTTACGGTTAGTTCTTGTCTATTGCCTTTAGGGGTTTCCTTTTCCTCTCATTATGATTAGTAATATGAGCATCTCCTTTGGCTTTGCAGAAAAGAGATGACGAAATGGATGAAACAAACATTGGGGTTAGCATATTATAGCTACATGGATAGTTGGTGTCAAACGGAAATAATCTCACCTCCTTACAGTTTCAATAACCTACTTAGGAGATCTCTGTATTCTCAAATTTTGGTAATAAATTATTGCAGTCATCTGCCTATGATACATGCAAGCATGAAATGTGCAGAAACTTTTAGTTTACTTTTGTATCTTTTTTAGAAAGGGAATTTTTTTAAAAAAAATATGTTCTTGTTTTTCAATGTTATTCAGTTAATAATCAAATCATTTGTATTGCTCTATTTCTCTATTATGTTATGGGGATTTTGGTTTAGTTTATCTCCATAACCTCATAATAATATGAGTATTGTTATATTGCATTGCAATCCCTTTTTTTTTGTACACAAGAAAATGTGAGGTTCCTGTAGAGAGAATGAGGGATTTTTAAATTTTGTTTTCAGTTCATTTTTTATTATATTCATGAAATCACATTCCTCTCATATTCTTAGAATATGTTAGATTTTTAGATTTTCGGAAATGTTAAATTACTTTAAACCATCCCTTGAATGCCTATAGAAATATTAAAAGGCTTTAAAATGTAGGCCTTAAATAGGCTTTGAGCCTATTTAAATAGGCTCAAAGCCTATTTAGGACCTACTTTGAAGCCTTTTTAAAAGCCTATTTATTAAATAGGCTTTTAAAAAGGCTTCAGGCCAGGCCAGGCCAACTGCAGGCTCAGGCTTAAGCCTAAATAAAAGCCTACATACAGGCCCAGGCTCAGGCCTAGGCTTTAGATTTTCCTAACAGGCCCAGGCCTAATTTTCTAAAGTCTGGCTCGGCCTGGCCTATTTCCACCCCTACCCAAGAGCTTCCTTGGTGGCCTTCTCGGCCAGCTCTTGGGCCCCCTTTGCCTCCCGGGCGGCCTTTTTCGCCAGTTCCCGACCCTCCTTAGCTTTCTTTAGCTCAACCTGGAGGTCGGTAATCTCCCCCAATCGCCGGTTGGCGACCTTCTTCAATGCATCGGCCTCATTGGCCAGCAGCGCTCGGCTTTGGAGGACTTGAGCCGCTCGGGATAACTACAAAACAATCGAGATTAGCCCGAGCAACGGCAGTTGTATGAAAAAATGAAGATGAAAGGTTCTTACCTCGACCAGATCCTGGCTAATCTTCTCGGCCACCTGGGTCGGGGTCAGCTTTGTCATATCCTCCCTGACCGGCCCGAGATTGCCGATCCGGGTGAGGATTGATGCATCGCTCGTGATGGCCCCGACCGGAGGGCTCAGGCTGCGCTGGTTCCTTCGGCGCTTCAGTGCGCCGCCGTCTTCGGCCTCCTTCTCGGACGCCTTCTCCTTGCCCTTACGGGCAGTCACCCGGGAGACCAGGACGTCAGAAGTCTCGACCACATAGCATTCGGCTGTGGTGACGGTTGTAGACGCGCCTATCGGCTGGGCGATCGGGATTTGTTGTTCCCCGGATGGCTTGGCCTTGGTCTTTTTCTTCCCGAGCGCGATTTTGGCTCGGGGTGCTTCCTCTTCTTCAAAACCTTGCGCCATTTCTGCAAACAAAAAACAAAATGTTAGAGCGGGGTCGGAGCTGGATCGGGGAATTAAGGTCGGGGACGATCAGTTAGTGTTAGACCTTCGTTCGCCGGCTCGACCCGAGTAGCCGCCCTCGCAATCGTTACGCCCATTGGCTCGGACTGGTGTTTCATCTTTTAGTCAATCACCCGATTAGCTCCAGTTTATAATCTCAAGAATTTGTAACCTGTTCTTCAGCCAATCATCTTTTTTTCTCCCTCATCTACAAAAATAAAAAAAAAAAACAAAACAATAGAAACATTTATATTTAGATTACAAGTGCAGCCCAACGCACACACTAAGGTAGAGCAATTTAGTCTAAAGGAAGAGCCAGAAAATGAGCAAAGTATGAGGGAACCATCCCCTATGAAAAATCCCTCATTAAATACCACTCATCTATTTCTCAACCAAAACAATAAGTAGAATGTAATACAGTAGTGTTATAAATCCTTCTTGCACATGGCATGCATATCATGATGCCAATGCATAATATTGATACTCTAGGAAATGTTCAAATTCTGTAGAATAAATTCATAGGTCCTAAGTAGCAGCAAAATATGTACATTTGTGGAACTTGGGTGCATTTCTTACCTTGAAAATATTAATAAGACTGGTTTTATCTACAAAAGAGTATCTCCATGAATGTACACATCTGCTAGGCCAAGATCAACATGGGTTGCTACTTGTCAATCATTTCTAATGAAATTACTAAATTTACCAACTTGGATATGAAAATGGAAAAGTGATCATACCATCCTAACGAAAGGTACCATGTGTTTTGAGTTGTCCAGAGGACTGCAACTCTTCTTTAAAAACCTGTATGCAATGATCATACCAGCCTAACAACACCATTGTGACACTAAGTAATGAAATAATTAAGAACAGGAAATAAGCCAGGTAATACGTACCTATAATCCATCCTCATGGAATCCATATCCTGAAAAATTGTATTCAATGTGTTAATACGAGTATGCACATGTATATAATAGGGAGCAAAAAATAATCTTACGGTTTTTATTGCTTCTTTTTGTGCTTCTGCCTCCAGATATGCATTGCAGCCTCAATTCTATTAGCAATTTCTGAAGCTCTATACTTCGATGATAGGTCCAAGAAATCAAGAAGGCATTCTGGGGACAACTGCCCAGTAGTAATGTCACTTGTATATAATAAAACCACTTCCAAAAATGTTGGAAAAAAAACAAAGTAAATTGCATCTCAACCAAATCTCTACTTGGATGGCTTAATGATTCATATTGTAGCAAAATGCATAGTTCAGAACACATCTGCATATGCTTCACTCCAAAAACAACTTGAAGAAATCCAAATTCCTATAGTAAACCTGAAAAAGCATATGAGAAGCTGGATATCCTTCTACTATTACATTATTCACTTTTTTGCCTTCTAAGTCAAAGTTGCAATTCAAAGAAATCATGAACTTAAGCCTCAAAGGTATGATGAATATAGGCGTTAGGAATGGCTGTAATAGTTTCTAGTTAGAGACTATAAAAACCATAGATTAAACACAAAAGACTCTAGGGACTAGTAATGACTATCTCAATCAACAAATATCTTAGAAAAGCTTCTTGTCAAACTTTCTGTACTACTTATCTGCAACCACAATGATAACAATTACTATGACTTCAATGTGGTTTGTAAATGATATCCACATATACAACTCTGGAAATGAGAATATCATCCATCCATCTAAGAAATACTATAAATTCCACAACCAAAAGTAAAGTTAATACATTAATACAGTCCAACATCAGTCAAATTCAAACAGAGCCTAAGAATATCAATCAATTTATTGACCTATTGCAACATATTTCGCTCTTGGTAAAATAATTTTTCGTTAAAAGTTCAAATATTTAGATTGTTTAACAGAATAATTTATTATGTGATCAACACTAATTTTAGAGTCATGCTCACATAAGACTTTTCACAAACAGTTGGTGGGCAACCAATCTCAAACTCCATTAATTTAGTACAAGTCAAACATAAATTTCAGTAAGCACAATTGGTCACTTTTCTGGAAATTCAGTCCACAATCGCATATGCTCTTGGAGTTCACAAACCTAAAATACTTGTATTTAAAAAATATATATATAGAGAAAAAAACTATTACCTGTGCAGCTTGCGGTTGCGGAGGCCGGAGAGCAGACGGCCACTCAGAGCGACGACTTCGTAGAACAGGGCGACGGACTTCTGCTGCGGAGGCCGGAAAGCAGACGGCGACTCAAGGGTTTAGGACGAGGGTTTCGACCTTCAGTAGTTCAGTGCGAGTGTGCGACAGCTTCGGAGAACAGGCCGACGAACTTCAACTACAGAGGCCGGAGAGCAAACGGTGACTCCGGTGGTGGGAGCGAAGACGACGGGGAGGCTTTCCTGGCAGCGGAGGCTGCTGTGACGGCGTGCGTAGGCGTTTGGTTGTGCGATGGAGCTCAGACTGTAAGTGTGCGAAGGGTTTGGTGACTTTGGTCTAAGTGTGTAAGAGGGAGATGAGGGGGAATACTTTTTTAGTTTGAGAGGGAGTTTTTTACAAGTTTTTTTTTTCTACAGTAAGTAATTATTTACAATATAATTATTTAAGTATATAATAAAAATATAATTATCAAAGTGTACTATAGATATTTTAGAATTCTTACCTATCTTCCACTTTAAAGTTTCACAAGTAATGCAATTAGTACAATTTACATTCTCATTTCGATATAAGATACAATTATTGGAACACGCATGTATTTTCTCATAGAAACTATCATTCTACCATTCGAAATCTTGGGAAGGAATTCTTCCAAAATCCAAAGCCAACAAGAAAACTGAGTAATACCTTCTTGACCGACGGCTCTTAGCTTTCTCAAAAATTACCATTTCTATTCACAACTTTAAAATATGGAAGATTCAACAATAAAATTAGAGTAAGAAACATAGGGATTTAAGGCTTAATGCAATTATGAGATAGGGATAAATATAATTAGAAAATAAGGGATTAGGGTTTAAGATTTGAGGACTAACCTATAGGATGGTAATGGACACGGGAATTAGTGAGCCGCTGGCTCGACGGTGGCAGAGGCGACAACGACGGGAAGAGGATGCCATGTCTCGACGGTGGCGGTGGCGGTGGCAGGAAGAGACAACTTTTGTGGATGAGCGACAGCGATGGGGAGGCTAAGACGTGTAGACGGCGTGCGGAGGGAGATCGGATGGCCGATAAAGCTGAGACGATGGAGTTGCGAAGATGTGATTGAGCTGTGAGCATAGAAGAGTTTGTGACGAGGTACGAGTGAATGACTACATGGAATGATTTTGTTTTTGTTGGAGAGGGAAAAATGTTTTTTTATTAAGTGAGCATGAGTAGGGTATTGCCCAAAATTTTGGCAAAATGAGCATTCTTATAGCCTAAACACTTAAATATTTCGATTTCCGTCCAACAACAATGTTGGACGGTATATAATAATACCTACCATTTTGTATTTCACCAATTGGTCAATTCAATTTTCCGACCAACTTGCAACGATAGGACGGAATTTCCGTCCAACATTTAGTGTCGGTCGGAACCTCCGTCCAACACGCTACGCGTGAATGTTGGACAGAAATTCCATCCAACTTTTCGTCCATCCCTATTCACGACAGAAAGCTGTGATTTTTTACAAATTACCAGCCAACATTATTGTTGGACGGAAATAGCGAAATTTCCATCAGTGATTCTAGAATAAATAAGTAAAAAATTAAAAACTATATAAATACAATCATTCTTTATGAAAAGAGTTAATACTTAATACCCAATACTATAAGAAAGAGTACTAAAATAGTAAAATTTGATATCAATGCTATAGTTATTATATAATTGCAGCAGGCAGGTAATGGAATCAGCAGCAGAACAGCAAGCAACAAACAACAATTAGAATAATGAGTTGGCCGGACTAACGATTAGCTAAATATTTTTCGCTCTCCCAATCATATATTCCTAGCTAGTGCTATCTTCACTATATTTGCCTTTTCTTGAAGTGATGCATCTGACTGGAGCAGGTACAGCATCAAACCGTAATTATTAACCAAATTTTTAACACGCCGAGAGCAAATCAAATAACTGCTGAGATGTTACTTGATTATTTTTCTTCATACGATGAAGCAAATTTACTAAACTTAGTTCCTGTGATTGTCCACCCCCAACACTCGAGCATGCATCTTTAGATCCGGAACCGAAACCTGCCTTATTTAGGAGAAATACCTCAAAGACTGGAATTCTCAGTTGACAAGCTTTAGAAGGTTCAAAAATTTCCTTGAGCTTCTGATCTTCATATCCAGACTACAAAAATATAAGCAAGAAGGTGATCCAGTATAACAATTTAAAGAGAAAAACATTAAAAAAAAAAAAATTGAAAATATAACGTACCGCCCTGTGCATGCAAAAGTGAGAATAAAGCATTTTTCCAACTCTAATCATGTCCTCCCATGAACGTGGCATTAATCCAACCCTCCTTGCCCTACTATTATATTCATCGCTAAGGTCCTGCCAAAATTTAATTGACCAGTGGTGATATGTAACTTACCCTGCGAGTAGTCATGAAATAGATCCTTGAATGCCTTAGCTTCCAAGAGATTCAACCTTATCTCTAGATTATTAGTCATCTCCAAAAGCTGATAGAAAGAATTACAAAAAGATATAATTCAATATAAACTAACAGCAGAAATACTAGTAACAATTATAAAAGTCATTGTTTTACTCCTGAACTCAATGAATCAGACATAAGTCTAAGTAGGAAATCCTTGCCAAATTACAATACAAATTTCAACAAAAATATTACACTTCCCGATAGAACCTTAAGCAACCTCAAAGTCAGATCATTAAGCAACCTTATTGATACCCATTCAATAGAAGAATCGAAAGGAGAGAAACTGACGAGAACCGAAGATGGCAATAGATACCAAAAATCTAATATTACCATGTAAACTCAAAAAACATAATTCCCTAAATGCTTAAACTTCTCAAATCTCAATAGAAATCAAAAATACAAAATTAAACTCTAAATGATTAAATTCATATATAGTTTCATACATGCTGAAACTATTGCTCAGGCCAAGCAATAAAAACAACCTAACCTGCTGCTTTCTTCAGTTGTCTTCCGTTTCTTCCCTTGAGATTCTAAATGATTGAATTTCTGCTTTCCATCTATACTATATATAAAAACAAAATGCTAAACGTTAACTTTCCGTCCAAAATCCTCCAATTTTAATATATTGTTTTCTACTTTCCTATTAGTACTCTAATTATACATTAAAATTCTTAAATAGTGTAATGTAATTCCTAATAGAATATATTTTTTCTTCTTAAACAGTATAATACAATTTCAAATAGAATATATTTTTTCATGTTTTCTGTTTTCCTATTCGTACTATAATTCTACATTAAAATTCTTAATCTCCAAAATCCTCAAATTTTAATGTATTGTTTTCTACTTTCCTATTCGTACGATAATTCTACATTAAAATTCTTAATCTATACTATCTATACTTCTATACTATATATAAAAACAAAATGCTCAACATTAACTTCCCGCCCAAAACCCTCAAATTTTAATATATTATTTTCTACTTTCCTATTCGTACTATAATTCTACATTAAAATTCTTAATCTACTTCTATACTATATATAAAAACAAAATCCTAAACTTTAACTTCCCGTCCAAAATTCTCAAATTTTAATATATTGTTTTCTACTTTCCTATTCGTGCTATAATTCTACATTAAAATTCTTAAATAGTGTAATACAATTCTTAATTGAATATATTCTTTATGTCTTCTACTTTTCTATTCGTACTATAATTCTACATTAAAAATCTTATTCTATACTTCTATACTATTTATAAAAACAAAATCCTCCATTTTAACTTTTCGTCCAAAACAGTCATATACTATTAAGGTTTGTGTAATATTGTAAAATAGTGTAATACAATTCTTAATAGAATATATTGTTTCATACTTTCCTATTCGTACTACAATTCTACATTAAAATTCATATTCGTAATACAATAAAATATAATACTTGCAAATCTGCAAATTATAAACAATAATACTTAGGTTTGCGTAATATTGTAAAATAGTGTAATATAATTCCTAATACCATATATTGTTTAATTTTCTACTTTCATATTCGTACTACAATTCTACATTAAAATTCTTATTCGTAATACAATACACCAATATTAAAATTCCTATTCCTATTCAACAATATTATTCCGTCACTACTCTCTTCGTCTTTGTAACAGGGCGCAGCTCATCATCACAACATTGGTAGATCACATTGTCAAAGCAAGAATAGTTAATGGGACACATGAAGGAACCAAAGTTCTTATCCCCCGAATGTCTCTCACTCCTTCTGATACGAGATTGTCCTTCAATTTCCAGCGTAAACAATTCTCAAACAAAAGTCAAGGCCAAACACTAACTCACGTTGGATTATTGCTAAAAAAATTGGTCTTTAATCACTGACAATTGTACGTGGCTTTCTCCCGAGTCACCCATCATGATGGCCTGAAGGTGTTAGCTCTTGATGAGGATGAATAATATTGTGTTGCGACTACCAATGTCGTCTACAAAGAAGTTTTCAATAATGTATAAATACAATCGATGATATTATGATTTTTTTTTTCAAAATGACAAAATTGCTATATATCTAGAAAAAAAATCCTATATACAAATGAATTAGGATAGCAATTTATTATTATAACTAAGTTGCTAGAGAACGAGCACATTTGCCCATTTTATAAAAATCCTAAACAATGATATATATATATATATATATATATATATATATATATATATATATATATATATATATATATATATATATATATATATATATATATATATATATATAGGGAAAGGGTTCAGGTGCGGGGATGGCTTCCCGTGCGGTTGTGCGGTTTGACGCACTCACGCACCTTAATCATTTACATGGCGCATCTTAAATACACAAATCACCACGCACCTTAAGTCCACAAACAAATCACCTTAAGAACACAAATCACTCACCTTAAGTACAAAACCCAAGCACATTAAGCACAGAACAAAATACTTTGAGCACAAAACTCACACACTTAAGATTTTAAAATGTCTCATATTAACCATAAACTCACGCACATTAAGTACAAAACTCACGCACATTAAGCACAAAACACACGCACTTTAAGTATTAACTCACAGACCTTAAGTTTCAATAACTACTGACATTAATTTCTAACCTCACACAGATTAAGCACAAACCCTACGCACGTTAAGCACAAACTCCACTCACATTAAGAACAAATCTCACGCACATTAAGCACAAAAGTCTACACTTTAAGTTTTAACAACTACCCACATTAAGCATAACCCCACACACATTAAGCACATAACTCACGCACCTTACGCACAAGACTCATGCATCTTATATACAAAACTCACGCACATTAATCAC